ACCACAAGGAAAAATGTACCTGTGGCTTCCAGCCCCAAGCAGAGGAGCCAGCGGGTCCCCTCACCTGCACGGCCGCCCCCTGGACTGTGGTACCTGGCAGCTGCGCCCTCAGCACCGGGACCCCCGGCCTTCACCTACGTCCCCTCGGTTCCCATCATGCCTTATCCACCAGCCACTGTGTAAGAACCCCCAACCCCGCCGCCCCAGCTGCTCCCGCCTCGGTCTCAGTCACTGAAGAAGCCCCCGATGTGGGGGCTGAGCAGCAGGCTCGGCTCTCCTGGGGACCATCCCAGGTGGCCACCTGCTGCCACACCTGGCACTCCTATAGTCACTCAGCAAACCCCAAGAGCTTGCTGGGTAGGAGAGTGCTCGGCCCTGGGGACCCAGCAAGGAAGGAGACTGCCCCCCGGAGCCTCCTAATGTCCCCTGATTATACTCCAGGACTTGGCCATTTCCATGTGGCCAAGCAAGGCATGAGGACGCCCTTGTTTTTTCAATTGACTCCTGTTTTAGAGCAGTTTGGATTTAGGGGAGTTGAGTAGATAGAGCAGAGAGGTCCCACAACCCCGGTTCTGACATCTTGAGTGAGTGTGGGACGTTTGTCACCAGCCAACGTTAGCATTGACGGTTGACCAAAGTCCGCTATGTCTTCAGTGCCGCTCGCTTGTCTTCAGGGTGGCCTCCAGGAAGTCCCTGCCTCTCCCTGTCATACCCTCTGCTCCGCAGTCTGGCAGCTTCCCAGACCCACCTTGTTTCTGGGTGCCCGGGAGGTGCTCCTGCCAGGTGCTGGAGGACAGGCCACCGAGATGGCAGAGCAGCTGTGCAGTGGGGCGGGCTTCGGAGCCAGGCAGAGCTGCTCTGGAGTCCCCTCTCCCACATTCGCCCCGTAGCCAGGGCAAAGCTACCTCCTCTGAGCCTCGGTTTTGCCATCTGTCCGTGGGGAGTGGTCTCTGCCATGTGCACTGTGTGGGGACAAGTGGGGTGTCGGTGGAGTCACCCCAGGTGCTGGCACAAGCTCATCACTGAATAAACAGGAGCTTTGTCCTTCCAGACGACATTGCTGTTGCTCGATGTTGTCATTAGTTAGAAGGAAAATGAGCTCAGCAGCTTTCCTGCAGGATTGTGGAGGGAAGGAAGCCTGGGCCCTGGAATTAGGAGACCTGTCTTCTCGTCCCAACTGTCACCAGCTAGATCTCTGCCTCAGTTTCCCCCATAGTGAAACAAGCCAGCCAGCGTTCAGTGGCCATGCTCTGGACAGCGAAGGCAGAGTCACGCTGTGGGCTGACGCTTGGCGGGAGCAGACACCCAGGTGCTGTCCACCGTGGGCCTCCCCAAGGAGGCTGGCCTGTGCTGGGGCATTTTGCCGAGCCTGGGCAGGCCCATAGGAGCCTTGCCTGGCCGCATCCTTCTGCATGCCCAGGGCCTGGCACAAGGCTGCAAACCCCTGCTGGGTTCCTACACGATGGCAGTAAAGGCTCTGCCTGGAACTGGTAGCCCCCCGGGCAGCCCTGGGTCTCCTTACTGCTCCTGAGGCCACCACCTTCCAGCTCAGGCCTTTGGGGAAAACTAGCCAGACAGTCAGCGTCTCCAGCCTCGGTGGGCTATGGGGAGAGGAAAGCAGCTGGGGGGGCCAGTGGTAGCCAAGGAACTTGGTAGGCCCCTGTGCCTCCGTTTCTTCCTGTGTGAGATGGCTTGTGGCAAGGATCAGCTGAAGGAATGCCCAGAAAGCCGGTGGTAGTGGAGGCGGCCAGCAACACAGTGCTCTTGATGCACAGGGAGCAGGGCAGCAGGACGGGGCGTGCTCAGTGGTGCCTGGTGCAATTTAGAACGTTCTTGGCCTGTGCTGCCACCTGCTGGCCGCCGCCCCGCATCCCACTGCAGAGCTGTGCACCCAGAGGATTTGCAGGGGCTTCTGCCCTAGAGGGTCTTGGGGGAATTCTCTGGCAACCTGGCCATCCAGTAAGCAGAAGGTGGGGTGCGGGGAGCTCCCCAGAGGCAGGAGTGCGGGCTGCCGTCCATGCTTAGGCCAGAGCCGCTCATCAGCAGGGGCTGCTCCCTAACTAGCTTGTGCTCCAGATGCTCGGCGTCAGGTCTGGGGCGACTCCAGCCTGCCCCTGGGCCTCGGGAGCTGACCGTGACAGAGCGCTTCCCTGGCCTGGCATTGCGAGCTCCTGACTCCTCCCTTCAGCTCACTCTGGCCATTTGAGGGGGATATCAGAGGCCTGGAGTGGGGAGGTTCCTGGGCCCTGCAGCCGGCCGAGCAGAAGGACCAGGGTTTGGGGCAGGCTGGTTCCGCTGGCCTCTGCTCAGGTGTGTGACACTGTCCCCTCATTCACTAACTCCCGGGCTTCACTGCTCCTGAGGAGATGGTGCCGACTGGTGCCAAGGAGGCCAGCCCCGCTCTGCAGGTGGTTGAATTGTGGGAGGAGAGGACCAAGGCACCGGTCCCCTTCCCCCAGCAGCGCGGGAGGGTCCCCTGGCCGCAGTTCCTGCCAGCACTGGGCTGTGCGTCTTTCCTGCCTTCAGCCCTCCTCGTGGTGTGCCGAGCACGGAGGGGTGTGGAAGGGGTCGGTGCCCAGCTGCCTGTGCTAATGAGCGCCCCCTCCCTCCCCAGGTACTTCGCACCCACAGCGCCTACCTCAGTCCCCACAGCCTCCTTGCGGGCACACCGGGGACACCGGCACTCCATCCAGCTGGACCCCGATGACCTGGAGGAGCTGCACTCGGCCCTGAACCAGGCGGTGCAGGCTGCCGAGGACGTGCGCTCCACCACCCGGAGGATGACCCGCTCGCTGTCGGCCGACCTGCGCCAGGCCCACGGCCTGCGGGAATGCCTCTTCTGATTCCCCAGAGGCTCTGAGATGGGGAGGAGCCGGGGCAAAGGGCAGGCAGGAGCCACTGATGCCCAGAAAGCCCTGCGGCCCCTCCTCAGGGGGGCCAGGACCTGCCCTGCCCAGTACCTTCAGATGGAGCAGCGTCAGCCTGGGAGGTGGAGTAGCTTCCCCGGGGACCAGCCCCGTCCACAGGTGCTGCAAGCAAGGCCACTGTACCCACACGGAGCCTCTGGGACTCTCCTCTCCTGCTCTGTCCACCTCCAGCTAATAACATGTGTCTTATGTCCAGATGGCCAGGCGCTCTTCATCCTGGGAGTCACCCTGGTCTTGGCCTCCTTACAAGGCCAGATACGTTGGGAAAGGCCAGGCTGTCTGGAGCAGAGCTGTCCCCTGCCTGTGACAGCCACCTCTGGGAAGGGCCTTGTCAGAGGCCTTGCTCCTGGCGACTGGGCAGTGGGGCATTTGAGGACTCTGAGGCGTCTGAGCTCCTTGCTGGGCTGAGGACACCTCCCAGAGCCCTGGGAAGCCACCCGCCAGTGGCTCTCTGCACCTCGCCCCAGGCCTGGGCCCTTCCTAGGATCTCAGTGGCATTGGACTGGTGACCAGCTCCCTGCCAGGCCCCAGCCGGGGCCCTGCAGCCGGGGCCCTGCAGCCGGGGCCCTGCAGCCGGGCTGTCGGCTCCCGCCCTGCAGCAGCGCCCTGGGGTTCTGGAATGTGTGTGCGCAGCAGACGTTTGTATATTTGAGGCATTTAAAAGTCTATTTTCGTTACAAGAGTAAATGAAGAAGAATGAATAATGATCTAAAAAATAGAAAGGACAACCAAAAAAGAACCGCCCACATTCCCAAAATGGCCTGCGTCTGTGGTGTGTGTCACGGATCCGTGATTTCTAAAGTTAAGCGTGTGGCTGAGGGAAGACTTGACACCCAGCCAGTCCCTCCCCCAGGGGACCTGTTGAGTAAGAGTTTTCTGACTCTGCCCCCTCCTGCGGGCTTCTGTTCCTGCAGCTTGCCCCCACTTGTCTTGGAACCATAAGCCATAAACCTTGGCTGTTAGGCCAAGCCTCTTTACACTAAGCCCAGAGAGGTTATGAGATACACACAGCAAAAGCCTGAGTCTGGACTCTCCTTCCAGTGCTCAAATTTTTAGTAGTGAAACAACTGCTGTCTCCTGAGCCCCTGCTAGACTGGGACCTGAACTCCACACAGGCGTCCTAATGGGCAGTGACATTCCTTCGGCCTGCCCCACCTCTTAGTCTCCCCTCCCTGACCGCCAGCACCAATGTCTCATTCAGGTTTGAGCCGATCCTTGGCAGTGTTGAAAAAGGCCTGTCCCTGAGAGTGACCCTGAGCTGGACACCTTTCCTGTTGGTTCTGAGCCTCCAGATCTCGCCTTTTGGCGTGCCAGAGGCCATTTCTTCTGCCATGTTCTGGGGGCATCAGGATGGGGGGGGGCCTAAGCTGGGGACCCAGGGCAGCGTCCCCAGTCTCAGTGCCATGGGCCCAGCCGTGTCCAGCTGTTGACAAGGGATGCTGTTGCCATGGCTTCTGGGAAGAGGGACAGCAAGGGTGTTGTCTTAGGAGGCTGGGGGCAGTGCTGGGCATGGGCATCCTGAGCCGCCCCTCGGGAAGGCGTGGGCAGCTGTGTGCATAGATCATTTAACCAATCCAGCCCCGACCTTCTGCCAACCGAGAGGTCTGCCGCCCTCACATCCAAGAGTCCACCCATCGTGACTTCCTGGTGGCTTCTTGCAGGACTCCTGACCCCAGGTGCTCGCTCTGTCTGTACCTGGGCACGGCCCTGACCTAAGGCTCCAGAGAGATGTGAGCTGGCTTCTGGGGAGTACCTTCATCTCCAGGTGTCATTGTCTTCTTTGGGGCCCTCTGAGGACACTTCCAAGGAGACACCAGCCCCTTTGGCTGAGGCCCGAGTCCTCCCGTCACCCACCCTGCCCGGCCCAGGTGCCGCCTCTTGCCAGGATGCTCTCTGTGGCCTCTGCTCGGGCCTTCCTGCCTCCAGCCTGGCCCCGCCCAGCTCATCTCCCTGGATGGCCAGGGTCCTTCCACCCCTTGTCCACCTCCTGTCGTCCTCATCCTCTGTCTCTGGTTCCTGAAACGTGTCCCTTTGGGCTTGCCGCTCCCAATCCTCCTAGATGGGTGCAGATACCCCTCCTAGGAAGCCCGTCCCCCTGCAGAGGAGCCCTCCTTGAGCCGGGCTACTAGAGCACCGGGCCCAGTGACGTCCACCCGGCTCCTCGCGCCAGGTTGGGCCTCAGCCAGGCCCCACCCGGGCAGACTTTCCCATCAAGAAATGAGTGGGCATGAACGAACACGCAGGTGACCAGCAAACTGTCCCAAGCAGAAACTTTACTGAGGCAGAGGACCGTGACCGAGGAGGCCGGTGTGAGGTGGTCATGGTGCGGGGGGCTCTGAGCTGTGACCCCCAGCAGGCGGCCCGGGGCTGCTCTCTGGCTCCTTCTTCCTCTCCAGCTGGTGCTGCCTCCGCAGCGGCTCACACTGGTCCTGGGAGAGGGCAGGGAGGGCCGCGAGTGACCGGGTGCAAGGCCTCCTGGGGCCGTGGCACCAGCCCCGCTCCTTGGCTCCCCAGCAGAGGCCCTGGGGCTGGCCCTGCCCCTGCGCCCCAGCTTGCTGGCCCGAGAACGGGGCCCAAGCTTCGGCAGCTGGTCTGCTCGGGACCTGTGGGCACCACTGTTTTGCTGATGCAGCTGCTGAGGCTGGGGTGGCCAGATGCCCGGTGGAGTCCCCTGGCCAGGGGAGGGGAGGGGCAGGCTGTGGGGCAGGAGGGGCAGCTCAGGTGGTGGGTCCATGAAACCCCGGGACCCACTACTGGTGGTCAGGGGAGGAAGGGTCTCAGGTGGAAGATGGACATCGAGGTTTTATTGTCACGGTCATGGAGATCTCCCGGGTCTGTCAGGTCACGCGTCACCAGCTCATGGGCTCGGTGATTTTCTGGATGGTCAGTGACACCTTTCAATTAACGCAGGTTGGAGGCAGGGGCTGAGGCGCCGTCGGGCAGCCCACCCTCCTGTACAACAAAACTCGGGACCGCGGCCGGGGGCTGCGTGCCATTCGGGGCCTCACTGAAAACCATGACCCCAGTTCCCCATTGGCTGGGAGGTAGAAATGGGGGGCAGGCCAAGCCCGGGGTGTGGGAGGTGCTCGTCGTCTCCTCCTCTCCACTGTGCGTCTTTCCTGGACCTACCACCCCAGGGTGCGGCCATCCTCCCCCACTGGCCTTTCAAGTCCTCCTCTCGGCTCCAGTATCCAGCTGGATGCAGGGATGGTGACCCCCGGGCTCTCATCTCACACCCACTAGTCTCTGAATCTCAGCTGCCTCAGCTTGAGGGCAGGTTCTTACAAGCAGGGGACCTGCCTTGCTGTGCAGCCTTGGTGGGCAGCTTTCCCTCTCTGGACCTCTGGGGTTGCCCGAAATGGGTGCCCCATATTCACCTTCTTCCAGTCGGTGTACATGATCTCCGACTTGTCCATGCCCTTGCACTCCAGCGCCTCACGGAACCCTTCCAGCTGCTCAGGGGTGGCCTCGGGCTTGTTGGCTGCGAGGAGCAACAGGCAGGCCGGGTGAGGGCCTGGGTGAGGAGCCCGGGGCGGCGGGAGGCCAGGCAGGGCTGGGGCTCTGGGATGGGCCCCGAGGGAGAGGCTGGGGCGGGGGGCTCTGGGGCTGCGGGGGCCCACCGTAGAAGGACAGGCCCCGCTTGCTCTCGTCGTCCATCGAGAAGGCCAGTAAGTAGGTGCCGTTGAAGTCCTGGAGGAGAAGCTGGGCCGTGAACTTTTTGCCGCTGTCTGCAGGACAAAGGGCCCAGGTGAGACCGGAGGGGGCCCCACTGCCCGTCTCTCAGACGCAGCCAGGTGGGAGCCCCACATAGGCCAGGGCTTCCAGAGTCTGTCCCTATGTCACCAATGAGGGACACGAGGCCAGAGAGCGGCTTGGGGCTGCTAAGTGTTGCCAGCTGTGTCCCGACAGCACTCTGTGGCATCTCTGGTGATAGTGGGGACGTGCAGGCTTCCACCTGAGCTTCCAGAGACTTTCAGAGGGTGCTTAAGAGAGAGGAGGTCTGGAGCTAGATTGGGATTTGAATTCTAATTACCAGCTGTGTGATCTCAGGAAAAGTCCTTGATGTTTCTGTTCCCCTGTTTCCTCATCTGATCTGTTCAAATGCCCTCCTGGGGTTACTTGTGGGCAGGAAACTGGCTCACTTCATAACGCATTTAAACAGTGCCTGTGTTTACTGCAGCGCCCAGGCACCAGACCTGGGGGACCTCGCAGGTAGAGCTGCCTTCTGTTTTCTGTGCCCAAGGTCTCCGGGGCCTCAGTCCCACCCTCCCCCGAAGGCTGACCACTCCCTTCCACCCCCTCCCACCTGAGGACAGGCCCTCACCATATCTGGAGAGGGTGGCATTCTCTCGATGGACCCACAGGACACTGGAGTTGTATTCGCAGTGGTCATCGCTAAAGCCAGATGGAAGGTGGGAGAGAAACAAGATGACCGTCAAGAAGGGACAGTCCCCACCCCAGGGCCACGGCAAGGGGCTGCTGGAGAGGAGAGCCGGTGGTCCTGTTCCCCCGTGGGGAGGCGAGGCCCAGGGGGGGAGAGGTGGGCTTGAGGCCTCCGGCCTCTGGAGTAGGGGGGCTCACATGCTCAGGTACTGCTGGAACAGAATCGTGTCCTGGGTCAGGTTAGGGGTGAAGTAGAAGTCGGAGGCCTGGATCTTCTGAACCATCTGCTTGAACTCGGGGTCCAGAAAAACTGAGCCGATGTAAAACCACCTGCCAGAGAGCTGGGGAGGGGGCAGGCGCAGGGGTTGAGCCGAATCTCTGGAGGTCGGCAGCAACCAGCCTCGGGGAGACGTGAACCTCCATTCTGCAAGCAGGGGGCTGAAGCCCTGGGGGGTGGGGACTGCTGGGCTCACCAGGTCCTCCCCCCGGTGGGCCTCGCCATGCTCAGCACAGAGCTCTCCCCTGCCGAGGGACTTCGCCTTGGAGAATTTGGAGGCAGGGGGAGGCGACCAGTGTCCCCCAGGCTGGTCAGAATCTCATCCCAGACCCAGGAAAGAAAAGGGCAGCACCAGAGGTAAGGGGCTGACCCCAGCCAGTAGAGAAAGAAGGGCCCGGAGAGGGGAGGCAGCTGCCTCTGGCCCCAGAGCAAGGCTGGCCAGGCACTCACCCAGTCCAGGGTGGCGTTGGTGATGGGCTTGGCCGTGAGGTTGGCACATGCCGGGCTCTGAGCCTCTAGCAGTGGCAGGAGGCTCAAGACTGCGAGGGCCCAGGGCAGCGCCATGCTGAGAGCAGGAGGCACCTGGCAGAGCTCAGGGCAGGAGGGCACAGTGACCTTTTTAACAAATGTGGGAGGGGCTCTTGGAGCCACAAAGGTCAGCTCACGGCTGTGACCCAATCCTGCCGGTGCTTGGGAAATCCCCGAAGCTGTTGTGAGTCCCACCTCCAAGGCCAGGACAGCGACCTCCTCACCTGCTGAGCTCACCCCAGCCTGGCTCAGTCGAGGCCCAGGTGCGTGTGGGGCTGGAGTGACATCCAACAAAGCTTGAGCACACGTCAACAGAGGGACCCCTCAGCAGTTGCTCCTGTTGTAGGGACAGAGGAGGCAAGGCACCGAAGACAGCAGGGCACAGCTTTATTTGGCTGCAGCCGGGTTTAGAGGTCACAGCTTTGGCTGTAATCAATCAATCCCCTGAACCCCGAGTCCAGGGAGTTTCAGAATTTTATACCCAGCATGTAGGGGGAGGGGCTCAGAAGTTCACAGTCTGCAGAAGGTCACATAAAAGCAGCTTTTTCTTTCACTGTTCTGGGCAAGTTAACCCTTCAAGGACAGCACCTGAGAAGGGGAGAGCTTCTTCTCCCCTTTCTTTCCTCCCCTGCCAGCTGTTACCGTGGAGCCCAATTGTAACTTCTCTTATCTTAGAAATGTAGACATCTCTGTGAAGCCCAGCTCAAAGCCAGAGGCCTTGTTTGCACATTTCTACAAACTAGTATACTGGATAAATGTTTGTGAAAAACTAGTAAGGGGTGTCCAGCACCTGGAGTGCTGATTTCTTCCCGGCCAGTGGCCAAGTAAAACAGGGCAACACGAAAATAGGAAGTTTATCTACATACTCTTTTGCAGACAGTCCTAAAATCAGCCATGGTGGAGATTTCTGGAGAGGCCCAGGTAAGACTTTCAAGACTTTTCTGTGGAGAAAGGGGGTGCACTGCACTCCTACTGCTCCCCAATTCTTAGCCCACGAAGCTTCGAGACTTGGTGGATCCAGCCATCAATCCAACACCAGAGGTAGCTAGAGAGTTCCTGGGGACGTGGGGCATCAGGTGCTCAGGGGAGGGCCGACGACAATCGGATTCAGTGCCAAGTGCACCTGGTAACAACTGTGAAGAGCAAAGGTTCAGCGGGACCCCCACGCCGCACTAGAGGCAGGGACTTTTCCAAAAGAGGTGACCAAGTTGGGTGACGTCTTCAGTAAATGCATTGCTCAACCACCCCCAAAACAAAAAGCAGGGAATGATCTCCCCAGGGTCCCCTACCTCCTGCCAATGAAGCAGGCGCCCCTCTTTCACTACCACCCCCTCAATCCTGGGCCAAGGCCATGCTCTGCAAATATCATGGACTGAGTGACTCCTTCACTCCTTTGAATCTCTACCTCATGTGGCCAAGTCTTTATCCGTAGAAATACATCAGTACTCCCCAAAGGCATTATTATGGTGTTACGGTGTCCCTGCCAAGTTGTTTTCTTGTTCATTTCATATATGTTCAGTAATTTGTCACCCCTCCCCTTTGTAGTCAGGTTTGCATGCGAGGCCAGCACTCTACCGACTGAGCCCTACCCCAGCCCCACAGTTAGAATTTTTAAAGATGCACAGATTTCCATTCCCTTCCTATATTCTAGTTGAATGTTGCCCTTTCTTCCCATCAATGGCATTTTGTATTTTTCCCTCTTTTCCCCTCTGCTGTTAAGTATCAGAGTGACCAAAACTGCCTTCTAAAATCGCTGAACTGCCCAAGAGAAAGAAAGTGTGTCACGTGCAGTGTCCTGTGCGTGACAGTTCATAGCAGCACGTGTCCAAAGAGCCCCAAGTTAAATATCCAGATGCTCCTCACCAGGAAGACAGAGTGGCATCTTTCTACAAAAGAGAATTGCAAGCAATAAAAATAAACCAAATACTGATGCCCAAACAACTCGGACCAATCTCACCCACCTGATGCCGACGGAGCGGCCCACATTCCCGGGCCCTGGTGTCTGATGTCCTCTGTCTGCAGTTCTGGGGCAAAACGGATCTGTGCTGAGAGAAAGCCCACCGCGGTGGCCTACGGTAAATCCGTGACTGAGAGGGCCCCAGACAACTTCCTGATGTGGGGGTGCTCGGATTGTCACCGCAGCTGTCCCCACATCGGTATGTTTGTGAACTCATTGAACCATAAATGTGTGCATTTGATCGATTCTGATTCAGCAAAGTTGATTCTGGAAAAAACTCTTCCAAACAGAACAAAAGCAAGCCAAGTCCCTAACCAGGAGTGACTCCATGGGCTGGCAACGCCAGGCGAGGCTTTCTTCACGTCCTTGTCAGAACTAGACAACCAGAAATCCCGTTTTTCCCTCCCTCCCTTCCTTCCTTCCTATATATATATTTTTAAATCTTTGCTGGGTGGGTTTGTGTCTTGGCTTGGCTTTGTTCTAATTTGAGGCTTAAAAAGAGAAAATGCCCTGGCTTTGAGCAGGGGAGACCCAGGGGGAGCGTGTCCAGGTGGCCTGTGGTGGGGGATGGGGTCGGGGGTCAGACTGGGGGAGAGGCTGGAGGAGCCCTGCAGGGTCGGAGCCGGGCTGGGTAGTGTGCTGGGTCCCCGGCTGCTGCAGGGCCCTGTCTGCCTGCGTGGAAGGACGGGGTGGCAGAGGAAGCGGGGAGGCTGTCGCAGGGGTCCAGGGGCGAGATGATGGGTGGCATCATGAGACTGTAGATTGCCAGGAGGCTGAGCTCCATATGGGGGCAGGACCACCGTTAGACCTGGACTAAGGGGGCTCCTGCTCAGCACCTAGAGATTTAGAAGGCCCCTTAGTGTGCTCTCTCCCCACTCACTCTCCCCCCACACACACACACACACTTTATTACATAGCACTTAAGCATGTCTCTTGGGATCTGGCACCTGGTACTGCCCCGAGTGGCCTGTACCCCTGAACAGCCTCTTTATAACCAGCCCTGTTGAGGCCCTATGGAAACCACGCTCTACCCTCAGCGCTGTCCTTGAACCAACCTGCCACACCCTATCAACTGCCTGGTGGTTAGTGGGCACTGCTGCTGACCTAAGAGATGGCTTCAGGGCACAGGGAGGTCACAGCAAACTTGGTGGAACAGAGAAGATCAATTAGTGCTCGGACTCCTCTTCCTAGTCAGCTGTGCAATTGCATTATCAACTGTGCTTTCCCAATAATACCGCAAGTCCCTTTGTGATGGTCAAGCCAAAGTGACTCCATTTTGTTTAGTAACTCCAATAGAAGGGTCGTGACTGGGGCAAGATGCTCTTTTCCTTTTGCTATAGAAACCTTTAAGAACACGGAACTCCCTAATGGGGCATTGTTTCTGTAACTGGGGTGACTGGGCTAACTGTGATTGGTTAGGCTTCCCTCCACCTGACCCCACTCTCCTGCTTCTGTAACCCGACTTGCTTGCATTGGCTGGACCCCGAACATCCCTTTTGCAGTTTTCAGGCTTATAAGGAGCGCCCTTGCAATTGTTCAGGGCTGATCAGGGGAACAGCTTTATGTTCTGGTCAGCCGCCACCGGTGTGCTTCAATAAAGGCTTGATTTGATTATACATGAGTGGTCTGGAAGTCAGTTTATGAAACCCTGGGACGAAGCTTTAACTATAATATCTGGGGGCTCGTCCAGGATCCATTTCTTCCCTACCCTCACGCCAAATTTGCCTCCAATGATGGGCCTTTGGACCTCGGCCCCGGAGTAGAGGGGAGCTCCTGAGAGACGTTCCTCAGCCTCACTCCAGGGGGGACCCCAATCCCTCCGAGGATGCTCTGAGAAGCCTCCTGCAGACCTGTCAGTTCTGGTCCACTCCTCTGGGGACAAGGTCAGATTGGACGCAGTTGTTTACACCAAGTCGGGGACGGGACGAGATGTCACAGGACTAGACTTTGTCACTGTCTCCCTGGAGGGCTCCCTGTGTGACCTCATCTGTCTGTATCTGGGGGCAGGACGAGATGTCGTCTCTGTCCCACTGGAGGCCTCCCTGCAGGGCCTCATCTGTTCCCAGGGGCAGGACGAGACGTGGTCTCTACCCCATTAGAGGTCTCCCTGTGTGACTTCAGCGATTGTTGCTTGTCCTGTGTCTGTTCTGCTGTTTGTCCTTTCTCCAGAGTCCTCTTGCTGTTTGTCATTTGTCCCGTGTCTGTTCGCTGGCAGTTTGTCTTGTGTTTATCTGTCCGTGTGTTGTGCGGGGCCCTTTTCTGGTTCCCATAACCGCTCTCTTTCATCAGGACTCCTTCGCTCCACCACATCATGGACAAGGAAGCGCTACAGAGGTCTCTACCTGGACCCCTTTAACTTGTTTTCTTAACAATTTTCAGGACTTTGTCTGTTGGTTTGTTTTTGTTTGTTCCCTTTGTGTTCTGTGTTAATTTCTACCTCAGTTTGTTTCTAATGGGGAAAAAAATGGTTAAAACGGTTTTAACTGTGCTCACTACAGCTTGCATTAAAATGTAAAGTGCTGCCGACAGGACTAAAAGAATGGTCAAAAGTAAAAGCTGAAGGTAAAAAGAAAAAGGCATTCTAGAGATTGCCTTCACTTAGGAACTGGGCCAGGTGGCCAACAGGGTAGATCATGTCAGTTCCTGTAGAGGACAGATTAAAACTAAAGTGTTTTATATAATTATTATTCCTAAATTGTATTACAAAAAACATGGTTTTGTCTAGAAAATTTGGCTTTTGTCTCTCAGTATTTGCAAGCATGAATAACTCTCAACTATTAAAAAATGGTCTAAAGATTTTTCAACGTCAGGCTAAAAGTTGGTGGCCGCTATCCAAGAAACCAGAAAAAACAGTTTAAAATGGGACCCCAACCTGGGGGACTCTCCCAAGGAGACCAATGAAGCTGCGTCTTTGGGAAGTTCCTCCAGGGAAAGATAAGCCCCCTTTGTTTGTCTATGTACCCTTAACTCTTTTCAGCTTTCATGAACAGGTCCACCTCAGGAAAAAGGTCAGAAAGGCTTATAAGATTCTGTTTGTTAAGTTCATGATTTCGATCTGACATTAGTAGATTACTATGTT